TATATATATATATAGGTTATTATTACTAACATTAGTAGTAATGATAACCATAAAAATGCAGCTTCTAACCATAATTATTTTACTATGCAATTATCGTCAGCAAACATTTTTCTTTCAGTGTATGCTCGAAATTGACGTCACTGATGCTTTCAGATCGTTGAGGTATTTCTTGCCGTGTACCAGTGACTGCCGATACTGGCGTATCGGAATTTTCATTTTTTTACCTGAAAATTCCAACTGATTCCTATGGGGCTTGATAAAGGCGGTGCTCGCATAGTGGCATCCAAGTTCTATTTCCAGGTTCTCGACGACGACGACGACGACGACGACGAGAGTCAAACCGATGTAGCGGGCCGCGCCGCGTCGCGACGTCGTGTTTCCCGAGTTTCCGGCGCCAGCATCGATGTGCATGACGCTCGATATTTTAAGTTCCACTCAGAACAGCAGAGCGCTCTCCTCGTGGTCGATCTCCTCTTCTCTCCTCTCTTTTTCCCCTCTGTCACCATTTCCGCTTCTACTGTTTTTCCATTTCTTCGACATTGCTTCATCTCTCACTTAATTTATCACTTAATCCTACAAGTTCACACACATGAATTCTCCGGCAGATTTCCTGTTTATCACATTTCCTCTACTTTCTATTTTCCTTATTTTATCCGAACAGTGAGAGAAAAATTTTTTATATTTATATTTATAACACATGTTATCATAATTATGATTATTATTGCTATAAGTAATAATTATTAATATAGAAATGGTTGCAATTATAATTTATAGTCATGCATTTGCCGACTTATTTATATATACTACATATATATACATATTGGGTGGATCCATATATTCGTTCGGTTTTTGAAGGCTACAATGAAACAAGTTTTTTTCATACAAAGGATGAATTTTAATCAATAATATATTCTCCGTTTTTGTTGATGATCTCTTGCCATCTTTCCAACAATTTCATTATTCCGCTCTCATAGAAGGTCTGGGGCTTAGAGGCGAAAAACCGGTCGAGGTACGTTTTCACAGCTGTCTGATCAGCGAACGATTTCCCGTTGAGGGAGTTTTGCAGGGACCGGAACAAGTGATAGTCGGATGGCGCAAGGTCTGGTGAATACGGTGGGTGAGGCAAAACATCCCAGCCAAGTTGCACTAATTTTTGCTGAGTGATTATTGCGGTGTGGGGTCTGGCGTTGTCATGGTGGAATATGACACCTTTGCGATTGATCAGTTCTGGACGTTTCTGTCGCAATGCTTGATTCAATTTCGTTAGCTGCGTGCAGTAGATCTTCGAATCGATCGTTTTTCCCTGAGGAAGCAGCTCGTAAAACAGCACACCACGATGATCCCACCATATGGATAGCAAAATCTTCTTCGGATGCAGGCCGGCCTTCGGGGTGGCATTCGGCGGCTCGCCAGCGGTTCCCCACGATCTCTTGCGCACTATGTTGTCATAGATGATCCACTTTTCGTCGCCAGTCACTATTCGTTTGAGAAACGGGTCGCTTTCGTGCCGCTTCAGAAGTGAATTGCAGATGGATATGCGGTTGGCCAGGTTCTCCTCGGTCAGCTTGTGCGGCACCCAAACATCGAGGCGGGACACGTAGCCAAGCTGTTGCAAATGCCTTTGTACGGTTCCATAACCTATTTTAAGTGTCTCCGCAATCTCTCGCACCTTTAGCGTCCGGTCTTGCTCAACCAGTGCCTTGATATCATTCGAATCAACCTCGGTGGGCCGACCGCTGCGGGGTCCATCTTCAAGACTCGTATCTCCGGAACGAAATTTGGCAAACCATTTCTGAGCGGCACGTTCTGTTAAGGCATCATCCCCGTATACGCCGTATATCTTTCGGTGGGCCTCCGCAGCTCGCTTGCCTTTCTTGAAGTACAATAATAAAGCAAAATGTGCCGAAAATGCACCTTATTCTCCGACATGTTCACAGGTCTATAGCACAAACAAAACTAATGCCAATGAAACCAAATTTGACAGATGAAAAGAGCGGACTGTCACCTTTCCAAAACATATTTGGATTGCCCGATTAGGCAACCAGAACCGGAGATATTTGGAAAAAATTTGCACTACTAACAAAAACCGAACGAATATATGGATCCACCCAATACTTATATGCAGAATGTTTGGAAGATAATGATAAATCTTTCGCATAGAGGCAGAATGGACTAAACTGAGAAAAAAAATCCTCTACCATTTTGCAATTTTCGCAATAGTCAACAAGATATTAATTGCTAAAAATTATCGAAAATTGAGTTTTAATAATTTTTTATTCAAATCCTATCAACTTCACAGAAAAACTACAAGAGACAAAAATTGTTTATTTTCTCCTCATAGAGGTCTAAACAATTTTTTAAAGAATTTTTTCAGAATTTTTTAATATCGTATTTTCTCAAGTTGTTAAAAATGAAAAAATGCTGTACTAAAAAGTTGATAAAAAATTCTAAAAAAATTAAAAGAGAAGTAAATAAACAATTTTTGTCTCTTGTTTTCCAAACACCCTGTATATAGAACTATGTGTATATACACATATATAAATAGTTATTATTACTATCATTATAGCGGTAATAATCATAATTATAACAACATATAATTACAGTTATAAATACCAAAAATATTTTTGTCTTAGTAAATGATTGGAGTTAGTACGAGAAACAATATTGTATGGTCTGCTATCATTAAAATTCCTTTTATCACAACCCTTAAGTAACACATTGTCGTGTTTTTCTATTTCCCTCTTAAATTACGTAACGCGATGTCCAAGGTTGCTGCTTTAAAAGTCTACGAGGCTTTTAACTCTTAAAAGTTGCAAAAAGAGAAGGCTTTATAGGAGTAATTATTACCTACTTTATGAATGCTTGTGGCTATTATAATAAGATGTTTAATTAAGAATTTAATACTTAGTTTCTTTCTTTGGGGATAAAACATTTGATAATGAACATAAGAAGATGTTACACGGTTTTTTCTTTCTTCTTTTACAATATCGTGCTCTACAGGAAAAATATTTGCGCTGAAACATGGAAAAAAGATTCTATTCTGTTTCACTCTATTGTTGCTTGAAAAGATTTTCTTCTGGCCATGAGGCGAGATGCATTGCCACCCGATGTCGACATGAACTCGGTCTTCGGCGAAGGCAAACACCTTTCTCCCTGCTCTCTTCTTTCTTCTTTCTTCCGACTTTCTCTCCCTTTTCTCCACCTTCTTTCTTCTCGATCTTTGCCAAATCTCGACCTCGCGTTCGTGCGAGTATCAAACTTCCGCGTGACTAAGCGAACGCCTCGAGGCCACGATTTCTTAAGCGATTAAAATGTGAATTTGGCCAACAATGCTTAATTCATAATTTCCATGTTAATCGAGTAATTTTTTGTCTTGTATTCTATTTATGTAGCTTATTAACGAGCGAAAAAATAGGAAAGTAAACAGATACCTCTGATAATCAAACAAGAGAAAATGCAGTATTAAAGAGAAATTAGAGACTAAACATACTTTGAGTTCGGTTTTTCTTTTTTTTTTCTTCTCGCTTCCGAAAATTAAGTATCATTTATTTATCGGCTCAGTTGTTTTTTTTGACTCCACGATCTCGTTTGATTTTACTCGAAGATCTATTCGACATTATAACAATAATGATAATCTGAAGAACTAACACTTTCTGCAACATTGTTGATTGACGGATTTTGTCGTGTTTTTTGTTTTAGAACTAAATGATGATGTTAAGGCATTCAACGGGCAAACATGAGGGAAAGAACACCCTCTGCCGACGACACCCCAAAAAGGGCCCCACCGGCACCCAGCAGAGGTGAGCAAAAATTCTTCTAAAAATGTTTAAATTAGCATCAAATAATGAATGTCTTTCTAAGATGCTTATTAGCATCAAAATTATTAAATTGTCAATTGATATTACTACTCTAGTTCCGTTCATTATTGCGTTTTAGTATCGAAAGAGTCACGCGGAATTGAATACGTACAGAAATAGATTCACTTTGAAACATTTAAGCACCAAGATCCGTTTTGATCAAAAATAGGTTTATTTTTTTTATTTGAAAAATTCTTCTGTTACTTTCAGCAAAAAATTATCATTTTGTTTAGTTTTGCTAGATGCATGATGTTTGGTTTTGCTAGAGCACGATAAAAGACAGCTAATGTATAGGAATATATGAAATGGGATAAGTATAATTCATGACGACACGCTAATAACTATTTAAGTCGTGAGGAACCTGCTTTAAGAAAATCTTTAAGAAAGTAAGCGTGAGAGTTGCTCGTTCGTCATTAGTTTAAGGATCGTGCCAAGTCAACAACAGATAATGATGAATTCTTCCGTATACGGCGCTACGCTATGCCATATCTCTACTGTCTCGTATTTCACCGATGCGAGTTTTCGATGCAGTTTTAGTGGATTTTCTTCTTGAACATTCTTAGGCGATCAAGATTATTTAACGCTGCGAGTTGAATTAAAGTTCTTGCCTACTGTAATCATCTTGGATTAGGACATCAGAAGCAAAAAAAAACATAAAGAAAATTCTCTTGCGGATTATATTAAAATATATTTTTTAATAAAACAAAATTTGTAATCAATAGAATAGTATTTGTAAAATATACCACAAACCTCTCTTTATGTCACGATAATCAATTAATATATATATTTGAAATAGAATTATGCCTAACACCAGAAGACAAACAGTTATCGAATGAGATAAATATAATTTTTTTTGTTCCGCGAAATAAAGGGATAGTTTTTGATTTATTTCTTATCCTGTTAAAGAGGTTCGATTGTTAGTCGAAAACCAACTTAGAGACTTAATTTTTTTATATGATATGAAATAAATACTGTACAACAAATAATCCCACAATTTGAACAATATTGACCGTATAATTTTCTTGTAATATTATTCTGAAATTAACCATTTTAAGCGTATCGCCTTATGGGAGGCGATCATTCTGAAGTAGATAATCACCGATTTATAATATATATAATATAATAAAAATATATATATAAATAAAAAACACACTCGGCCAACTTAGGACTTTGAAAAACTAGAATTTGATAGATGAAATGTCAACAATTATGTTCAAAAAAGAAAAATTGGACTTTATATCGTATGAAAGTTAAAGTTTAATTGTCAAAATTAAAGTTTAATTGTCACAAAAGGTTTACCTTTATCTCAGGGATCACATTAGTAGTAACAGACTTGGCAACGCCGCAGTTAATATGAAGCACATCTAATATGAAGCCAACTTCATATAACTTAAAATCCATCTCGACGTAAAGAAACAGATATGAAAATAATACAAAATCGGCCTTCATACCGATTCTGAATTTCTCCCTTATCATTCGCCATAACACCGATCACTGCTCGTCACATCGCGAAGTGCAATGTTGCCAAGTATACACTCGACCTCCCTAATCATTTACAATCTCATACATTTGTTAATATTCTATACACTAATAATTTACTAAAAATATAGCATATAAATAGTATCCACAATTTATTGCACTAATATTGCATATGATTTAGAATCGCTGTAATGACAATTTATTTCAGTACACATTTTTTTCACTCGAAAATAATAGTGGAACCTCCTTAAATGCAAATATTTTTTTATTGCAAAATATTTCTATTTTAATATATTTTGCAAGATATGTTTCATTATATGCTTTCTTGTTTCTGATATTATGATTCTGAAAAGATCCGTGGTAAGAAGTCTTAACAGAATAGAATGGAGTAAAACCTTATGCGTTTACCCTTATATTAATTATCAATTAAAAAAGAGTTCCCATAAGATTCGCAATTCAACCATATCGACCCCCGTGCATACAGCTATAAACGCAAATATGACTGCCGGATTACGACGGCGATTGTTTTCAAGGCTCCAACGAGGCAGCTATGATGTTTACAAGTATATATGCATCTGCGAAGCAGGCAGATGTGTATTTCTAATAACTCTACACTGTCCTCCTTTTTTACAAATCTTACGATCAGAATGATGGTCGAACATATATATACATATAGTATATTATAATATAAATAAATTTAATTATATTAAAATTGTGGTCAAAATGATATAGATCCGTGGCGTCTCTTTAAAAAAAATTCGATTAAAAAACAAGTGTAAATAAATTGCAGCCATGCGAACTTACAACACCGAGAACAATTTTTTATCGCAATGCGTATTGCCGAGTCACGCTATCCTCGATTGCTTGGGAACTGTATACACAGCACGACTTCTTTTGTCCTTTACAAGTTACAGAACTCGTTTTCTTAATCAAAACGATGTAGCTACGCTAAAACCCGCTAATTTCAGTCTCGTTATCTTCATTTTTACCTAATCAGCTTCGGCGTGGCATAAGTAAACCGTGATCGGTCGCGTGCGTTTACGCATACGAACGTATATGCGCGCAATACGCGCATATTCTCCTGTCGCGAATATTCTCTCGTCGCGTCACATCCATCGCGACTATCGCGAGAAGTGCGGTTGTGCACCGCGCTCTCCGCGCTCGTTGCATTGCGCAACACAACGTCCGTCACATCCACGGACCTGCGGCGGTTGTGTATACAAAACACGGGATTTTGAAAGTAGTCACGCTGGTTGAGATATCGTAATCGCTGCGAGTCGTTGGCGGCTGCGGTGTCGACGTCGCGCCGCAGGTCTAATTATCGGGCCTGGCTCGCGCGCCTCGTGCGGACGCAAACGCGATGCGGCGTCGCGGCGTCGCGGCGTCGCATCGGCGAATCCCAATGAACGCCTCGAGCGATAGCCACACCGACCGCGATCTCTCGATTAGGATACGTAGAATCCGGTGAAACGTGTTCAGGGCGTGATTCGTAAGGCCTTGTTTGATGCGAACTTATGTTTCAAAACGGGCCTTGTAAGGGCCTCATCTGGCTGCTCCCGCTTCCTTTCAGGAACATATTGATTCTTATCGCCGTTGAAATTCTTCTCCTATCTCGGACTACACTGAGTGTTCGATATGAGGAAAATGTCTCCTGAGAGGACGAATATTTTTCACAGAATTTTTCCGCGGACGGTATTCCCCTGGAAGAAAAAATATTCCGTAGAAAATTTTCTTGAGATTATTTCTGGAAATTATTCCTAAAATTATTCCCGGATGAAGAAAATTTCCCTGGAAATTGTGTTTGATGTAATTTTTCGCAGAAAGTATTTCATGAGAAGATGGAGAAATTTTTATACCGATGAAAAAAATGCAAATAAGGGAAATAGGAAGTATTTGACTTTAACTGGATACGTGATGGTTATAACGAATAATATTATTGCTAAATAATTTTTTTTTATTTATTATCATGAATAATATGTTTCTATGCTAATTTTGTTTAGTTATTTCCAGGATTGGGTAGTAACTAGTTAAAATGTTAAAAGTTAATAATTTTTAATTTAACTTTAGTTAATTTTAAATGCATTAATTTTTAACTTAATTTAGTTACTTTTAAACTTTAATTTATTAACTTTTTTAAATTAAAAATTTTTCTATCTCTCTTAATGCTAATATTTTTTTCTATAAAATCTTAAACATTAGAGAATTAATTTAGAAAAAGTTCAGTGATTATGATTAGAGACTATAATAAGAGTCACACCATACGGTAGCCAATTTTTATTAACTCACGAGATTTTATCAATTTTTATATTTGAATCACATTAATTTTAGGTGTTATAAACCTTATATTTCAGCAACATAAATATAAAATGAGTCTTAGATGAAGAATTGTTGTAAAACAGTGTCATACATCCATAAATTTTTACGTATATCTTTATAACAAATATCTAGTCGATGTAATCGTAAACATGCGTGAGCAGTCGTTTTATTAGTTAAAGAAAGATAAAGGGATTAAGAAAAAGAGATAATGCAAATATATACTATACCCTTCTCTCTCGCAAAATTTTGACAAAAATACCTTATGGTGTGACTTTTGTCATATATAAGTAATTTATACGTGACTAAATTATATATAAATTATATAAATTATATATATAAATAATTTACATATGAAAAAATTAAATTTACCTAATAATCTATATAAGTGTTATTTAAAGTAATCTCATTTTAAGAAAAATGTAGGACATTCTGATCTCAAAATAATTTTTTTCAAAATTAACTTTTTTTTAAACGTGAGTTAATTCAAGTTAACTTAACTTTTATTAAATTAATTTGTTATTCCTTTAACATTTAACTTAATTTTATTAACATGGTTATTTCTTTATCATTACGAAGGATTGATTTTAAAGATTGATAAATTATTTCCTTTTTCTATTTATATACAGGGTGTCCTGCTTTAACCAGTCTCAAAACTTATAAGTTTTAGAAGAAAATTTTTTAGATAAAAGTTGTATTGTTTGTCTTATAGTGGAAGCGCAAATAATGATAAAATTAACCCTTCGTTGGCAAGGTGGATTTTTAGCATGTCTAGTAAAGTGGGGTAAATACGTGCTCATTTTTCATCTGATTAATGTACCAAATAAATGAAAAAAGTAAATAATAACATGAAACTTTATTCCCTGTTTATTTATAGATAAAAATATAGCTTTATGCATTTATGCTTTATAAATTTATACTTAAAATTAAAGATTAAATAAAAACGCTTTGACTAATACTACATAAATAAATTGCTTCAATCTTAAAATATTATATATATTTTATATATAATTAAAATAACTAAAAAGACATTGCACAATAGTCATAAAAAAATATTTAGGTTATTACTTTAGTTTCAAAATAGTAAACAAATAGTAAATATCATTATGAAATGTAAAATTTTATCTGAATTTATATCATAAAAACAGCGTGGGATAAGCAAACATTGACATAAACAAAAATTGGAGGGATATGTCACTTACCTAAACGATTTCGGCCGCTAAAACATTTAGGGCCGGTTGTTCCACCTTTTGGTAAATTTTGTCTGTGAGGTAAATCTAGTAATCCACACATGTGATTGAGTAATCTTGCTACTTTCTCAACAGGTAAAATTTACCAAAAGATGGAACAACTGGCCCTTAGTGAATGAGTTGAAAATAGGTTAGCCGGGACCACATAACCGTAAAATAATCAGTGCATATGCAATATAAAATAAACGAACCATGGAGTCATTTTTATTCCAACCTTACCAACGGAGGATAAAGTTTCACATAAAATAAATTTTTGAGTCCATTACCATTTTTTTTTTAATGAAATTCTTTAAGTTTTTCACGTAATATGGTTTCTCTAATTATTCTACTTCTACGTGTAAATTAAGGTAGAGTTATCGAAAAATCAATGTTTATGAGATATTTTATATTTTAGTTTGACATTAAAATATAAAACATTTTGACATAAAATATAAAATATTTCGTCAACTATAATATAGATATTACCTCTTTTATAATCGTACCTTAATACTTTTTTCATAGAATAATTAGATGAATCAATTGATGTAAAAAAAACACGCACAACTTTTATCTGAACTGTTTTCTTCTAAAATTTACGGTTTTTGAGATATTTGACTGACAAAGGGGACGCCTGCATAATAAGTTTCTGTGCTAGTTACTGTTCAGCTCTTTTATTATTAAGGATAATGGTACAATAATCTTGGATCACTATAATAAAAATATAAATAAATAACTTATGTTACTGCCTCGTGAATTACTTACATAGGTATATACGTAAAGCAATGACGAAAAAGAATTACTCACTTTAGAGATTAAAATACGATGGAGAGATAAATTGCTCTAGGTTAATCGTATTACTTTCCCTTGATAATAGGAGCGGTAGATAATATTATTCATTATGAAAATGTAACTTGTTCTATTTATTGACGACGATTTTGAGGCGTTATGTCGTAACGGCTCACAAAGATTTTTAGAATTCCTTGGAATTGTACATTCTTGGTGAGATCGGTTCTTTCGCAATTCTAACGATGATAAAATCCCAACGGATCTATAGATATACCTACTACTACGCGTTGCATGGAACCATAAAACGCGAAGGGGAAAGCTTAGAAGATATGGACGAGAAATAAATCGATATCGTGTAAAATGGGGAGGGGGAGGAGGTGGGGTGGCTATATGTATATCGGTATCATTAATAGTTCGCGATAGATAAACCATTAATTACCATTGTTGTCAACGTCTTTCGCAAAACGAACCGGATGGTCGAAGGGATTGTCGCGGGGTATTGCTAAGCCGGCCGGTTTTTACCACCTCGGGGCTGTTGTCAGGGGCTGCGGTTGTATGTCTGCGCGCGTACACGTACAGGCGCGTATGTGTGCGCGATATACATGTATATCTGTCTCTCTCTCCCTTTCGTAGAGCACGCTACTCGTACAAACGTAACCCCTTTCGACGTGGCAGAGGGACGGTTATCGATTCTCGCAGCCTCCCTTCTCCCCGACTTCCGGATAAAAAAGTGTCGGCAGAGACACAACCGTGAAGAGCCTTTGCCCTCTTTCTCTCTTTCTGATTTTCTCGCGATGGATGGTATCTGTTTCTTCGTTCTTTTTTTTCTGTATTTTTTAAATTTCTTTTTCAAAAAATAAAATACACTTTTTTAAATGATGGAAATTATGAGGGACTATACAAATTCAGTGTGAAGAATGGAGATGTAACCTGCGATTTGTAAAATTTATTTCAAACCTGCAAGTTTGTCAATTTACGACTAAACTAAGTTCTTCTTTTATGAGTTGTAAATTATATTTTTTTATTCTTTTATGAAAAATCATGAAGATTTTCTGGCTGTTGTGTTAGGCAATATCAACAACATTATGAAACAATTAAAAACGGAGGATTTAATATTTATTCATTTGTGTAAAAATTACAAAGTGCAAACAGTTAAAATGTGCGCTGACATTTTTCATTACAATTGCATTGCAACAATTTTTTACTTTATCGTTGTCACTTAATGCTAATTATAGTTTATTTCATTATTTATATTTTTTTCATTCCATTCTTTAAAAAAGTTGCATTGATAAGATAAATTCAGATTAACTAAATTTTTATGTTTATATTTTGATACGATTATAAAAAAGACAGTGAAATAATAATTAAGAGTTAGAATTAACCCGTTTTATCAAGATGCGACCAGAGCGGAGAATCAGTTAAACCAAGATTAATATTAAGCAGCACCGGTGAACAGAGGTTTGCACGAGATTACGTGAAACTTCGCCAGTCCTAAATAAATAAACAGCCGTCGTACTTCGCTTGTTTCTCAATGGCAGATTTATCGCCTCGCTGTACGCTGTCCGTTTTTAAACAATTATCTTCGCGATCCAAAAATAAATTACGCGATATCTGTTGCGAGGAGGCTGAGAACTTTAAAAGGAAGTTCTTGCGTTCGAGTCGTATTTGAATATAAAACAAGTCTATAATACAACATACGTGGTACTTGATTATATCTAGAAAAAATTTCATTGATTTTTATCGTTTTAAAGATATTTCATTCTGAATGTATAATGTAATTTTACAAGTATACGCAAAACCTTATCTCATAGGCATTTCTTCTTAATTTGAAATATTTGCGTATAAGGCAGAAATTAAAAAAATTTTATAAGTACAGAGTAAACACTTCAATCTATTTTAGTAAAGTTTTGTCTAAATTAACTGTGCATAATTTGAAAGAAATTTATATTTTCGATGAAGAAAATCAAGAATATTTGTCAAATGGACGACGCGTATATATATGCTTATTATTTATATTAAACCTACCAATAGCAACTTTTAAATTTACATCATATAATTGCGCGGTATTACATTATCTCTATCTCTATTATTTGCATATTTTGCCGTACTATTTTGAGAACAAGACATGTATGTAACCTCAATGATATATAACCTCAAACATATTGGTCAAACCTATCATCAAATGAGCGTTATATAAATTTTATAATATACTATACAAATTATAATATATTATAAATAAGCGTTTTATTTCGTTAATTTAAAATATTTAATAACAGAGAGCAGGTGAAATTACATGAGTAAATGCAAAAATTATTTATCGAGTGTAATTTTACTACAGAAAAAAGTTGTTCGTTTTAGCACAAAAAACAACTTCTGCCTTTAGCAAAATTGCGTCCGATAAGTAGTTTTTACAGGAGTGCAGGTTAACAAATAAGCGCAAAAATTATTTATCGGACGCAATTTTGTTAAAGAAAAAAGTTGTTTGTTTTAGCATAAAATATCACGTCTTGTATTTCGCGGGCGCAAATTTTGAAATATCCTGTATAAAGAAATGATTGATAAGATTTTTATATTATTATTTTAATTATTTTTTACACAATTTAAAAAATTCAAACTTATCTATTGACCAGGAAATAGCGCGAGAACCTCCTTAAACAAATTCCCTGATTCCCTAATCAAACAAATTTATATTTGTATCACTTCAACTTATTACACCGTATGCACCAATTAAGAGAGTGCAGGAAAAAAAAACTATTCTTCAATGATCGAAAATGCAAGATGTTAAATGTTTCGCAATAACTGAAAGTTCGACAGGAAGCATTATGTAAACAGCGACGATTATAAGAAAAATCTTTTTTAGAGGCGGCTTCGGCGGACGTAGCTGGTAGCGAGACACCGAACGACGATACGATTGAGGGTTATCACACGGCGAAGTTGTCCGGCATCCCTTCGGCATCCGGTTCGACTACGTCGTCCGATAGGATGGTAGCGTCGACGCAGAGCCTGGAGGATCTGGGCGTTAACCATTCCGCCAACGCGGCAGGGAGCAACGGCGATCGTCAGCAGCATCAACAACAACAACAGCATCTGCAGGAACGCTACGGTCATGCCTACAGATCATCGGCGCAGACTGCCCAGGACAAGCGATCGCGGCTGAGCAACGTAATCAACAACCTGCGTAAAAAGGTACCAGATGGAGCAGCGAGCGGAAACTCGGACTCGCCGAGAAAGGAAGAGGACGATCGGAATAGCGTCGAGAGAAACTTGGAAACTCTGGAGAAATATGTGATGACGGTGCTGAATGGCGTGATCAAGGACAACGAGGAGGAAGACAAGAACGTAGAAAAAGAGTTGGAAAGGCAGAGGAAAAGTACTGATGAAGAGGAAGAAGAAGAAGAAGAGGAGGAGGAAGAAGATCCGACAGATATGGCAGTCAAGTCTGAGCCTTCAAGCGAGGGTGATATCGAAGCAGCTGTTGTGCCGCGGTTAGAGGACTCTTCGACGGTCAAAAATACCGAAGACGCTGAATTCTCGGAGATTATAGACTGCTTGAGTACAAAAGAAATGACAGAAGAGAGTTTGCAAGTTTCGGAGGACAGAATTAGTCAAGATTCAAAGGAATCACCTTCGAGGATAGAGAAAGAAGATCTAGACGTTGAGCAGAAAGAATCATCCGAAGATGATCGAGGCGTTTCGAGGGAGAAGGAGAGTCGAACACTAAGCACAATTATAATGGACAGATTGAGTGAGCATCAAGTCGAGGAAAGAGCGAATGTTGATGACGGTAGAGGAAACCAAATGCGTGATGAACATGCAGTCACAAAAGATATCACGATGCGAGCGATTTGCGGTGAATTGCTAGACGATCTGTTGAGCGATGTCTATCGCATTGTCGACGATCACGAGAATCAAAAGACCGAAGAATATAAAAAGTCGAAGAAGACTGACGTGACCGAATCGAGGGTGGAGGAGACCAAAGACTCAAGTATCAGCGTTCAGGAGTTATCCGTGACGGGCCTGCATTGCAGTCTACCCTTGGACAAAGTCGCGTCTGTGCTTCAAAACTGTCAGACAAGTGAATCGGTAACCTCACGACTCTCTTCGGGATCATCCTCGAGTCCTCCGTCGGCCCAGAAGTCGAAACCATCGTCCAGTACTCCGCCGGTTAGAGTCCTCTGTCTTTACTGCGACAGGAAGTTCCTGTCCATGTCCCGGCGACAGCGACATATGGAGAAAGCACATCAGCTCAGCGGTGGCAGAAGATCGGAGAGGAATCTCCGAAAACCCTCCCAGAACTGCCAGTACTGCTCTGAGAAATCTGCCGATACTCTGGAGGCGTTATTCCAACACATGGTCGCTAGTCACGGAGATAAGTACCACGCGTGCGTCCAATGTTTGACGAGGTATCTCACCCGGGAAGCTTTGGTGGGACACATAAGCGAGACGCACGGGGGAAATGCCGAGAGAATCGGTCAGGTTCAGGTAAATGTCGCGAAAAATCAATAAACGATGTGAATGCTGTTTCTTGTGTCTTAGAATAAAATATAGAACTTTAATGTTTTGTTCGATATTTTATTGGACGTTAAAAATTATTAAATGTATGAAAATTTGTTGATCTTTCATTCTTTACTTGTTTATTAGATACTTATTATTATATTATATTTCTCTCTCTGTGTGTGTGTGTGCGTGCGTGTGCGTGTGTGTGTAGAAATATATATATATATATATATATATATACGAGTATTATTCTACTATTGAATATCCACTTAACTAATTTTTTTTTAAATTCTTTCGACTCTTTTTTGATTCTATATATAATTATTCTATTTATAATCACGATATATTTTAATTTTTTAGTAAATCTATATCGTTAAATCTTTAATAACTTTAATATTTAATAACTTCAAAACTTTGAGTGGAGGAATGTTATTTCATAATAGAAACAAGAATTAAAAACAATAACAAATCCCAAGATAACTGAGTAATAACTCGTGGCATTTCATTCCTTGAAGGACAAAGAAATTCAAGTAGTAAGAAGAACATAAGAATATTTTCAGAAATTGACACGTTTTACTTCTAATTCGATTCGAAAAGTTTCTATCTTGAAGATGCTATTAAGCTATTATTAGACAAGCACGTCTTTGTTCTTTCAGCCGGAGAAAATCAAAGAAGGATCGCCCCCCTGTAGAGACTTTTGTAATCAAAATCTACGTGAGAAAGTGAACATGTCGTCAGTTAAAGAGAGAAGATCCGAAGAAAAGGAATCGGAGAATCAAGATGACAATCGACGGTTGGACAGAACGAAACTCATTGCGACGCGAGAACCCATCGATAATCCGGCCAGTCCTGAGTTTGACAGTTCATTTTACAGTAATGTGAGTTGCAACATTCGTGAGAACCTGCTGCACCATTTGGATGGCAAGCTGCAGACGATAAGCGGCGCGTCATCCTCGACGTGCATACCACCGATTGCTACCTCAAACTCGACGGCGACGACGACGGAATCAAAATCGCCGCAACAACAATCGCAACATACATACTACGAGCACAACGTCAATCAAATCCAACTTCCCATTGATATCTCACTGACCGCAGCGACTCCGGTTTACAGCAAAGACTATTCGGCCAGTGAAGAGTACGAAAACTCGAGTGAATATGCCCGGAAAGCCGGTAAAATGAGCAGCGGCTCACGACCGCGTCGAGTCTCTTTCGAAAAGTATAATTTCCCGCGAAAGTACGATGGCAGGGAACAGTGGACGTGCTCGATCAAGGACCTCAGCAAGTTCGACATCTCCACGCAGCTGACACTTCGAAAGAAGCAGCAGCTTATCAAAGAGCGTCTCGCTGGTAGCAGACTACATCAGACTCAGTTGCTATCCTGTGAGATCACTGATCAAGTATCTCTTCGCGATCAGGATCAGACCGAGCCTGACATCGAAATGGCAGATGAGATGATGAGTTATTATCTATCTATAGTATATAGCTCAATGAGAGATCAGAATAACGCTGATGATACCGGTTGTATAGTCGATACAGATGCTACGACTTTCGATGTTGGCGAACTGCTTCCAAGCAAGATTAAGGAGGAGCCGATTAAGGAGGAACCCGAGTCATCCGCGACTTCGACGTCGACGATTATTACGGAATTCAGTGTTGAATTCGCAGATTTTATGAGACTGAAAAGGTGCGAGAAAAGCGACAATGAAGTCACTAGTGCTCAGGAGATCGTTTATGCTGAACTGAGCGGCGAATGGTCACGAATGCGGATCTACATCTGTGGCGCTTGCGGTTCCAGACATGTAAGTATATAGCTTCTACATTATATATATTTTCTTTATAATATCATATTCTGTTAAAAACAGAATTTTAATAAGGGATATTTAACATTAACAAAATTAATCAATTAAATTGTTGATAACTATTGATAATTTAAATCTTAGCATTTATTTTTTCGAAAGACATGACATTGTTTCTTATCCATTTCTTATCCTCTCAGTGTTTTATTTCTTATAATCGAAATATCAGCATTAGATTGTACTTGACAAGTGCTTACCCGTTACAATATTATCAAAGGTGTAGAGATGCTAATATGGCTTTATAATTGATTTATGTCATCTAAGACATTATCTAAGATAATCTTAGATGTACAAACCGACTATAAATATTAACATTAAAATCCGGCTTAAAATCTTTATTACGAAAAGTTTATAGTTCTTTTATAGAGTGATTTAATAAATATAAGATTTCTATTTCAATATTTTAAGCGACTCAATATCTTAAACAGGACGTTTAATTTTATAATTTTGATATTTCAAATTTATTAATTGAATTTAATATAGAACTTTATGATTTTTTAAACAAGAAAATATCACAATTTTCAAATATAAAACGACTGCAATAGAAAAAAACTGTGAATTAAAAGATATCCAGTAAGGTTTTATATATGATTTTAAATATTACTGTCATATTGCAAATGATGCATTTTCATTAGTACGAACGCGGTCTAGATAATTTATCAAGTAACGTACTTGATCTTTGACATTTGTGCGATACACGTACGGACCGGATGGTAAACGTTTGCAGTGAGTTTTCTAAATCACGGATTCACTCACGCATCTACGATGGTCTATTCTTTCCCATACATATATGTATACAAAGCGAATAATTTATATCTAATGAAATATCTGTAATGCTCTGAATCAGAATAAAACTCCTTCTTATTACCATTTTAGCAATAACATAAAAATAGCTTATGTATGTGCTGTATTATCGAGGGAAACACCGGAGGAATCCGTATAATACCTATATCTTCTGTGTTGTTAGCGCATTAATCAGGTTTACAAGAATTGAAATATTACGTATTCGATATCGATTGCAAAACGATGCACCAAGCAAAGATGCGACCTGAACCGTCGATATTTTTGTGCAGGTAACACTGAAGGAGATGGAGGATCACAAAGCTTCCACGCATCCACGTGTCCTGTGCTCACACTTCGACCTGGCCGGCGATCAACGCGAGCACTACAAGCACCTATATTTACCGGGACGAGATGCGCCTACCGATGCTGCATGTAACGATTCTCTCGAGGAGATGGTATGCACCAAATGCGCTAAGAGTTGTCCGAACATGGGTGAATTGCATCGCCATATGCTGGAGTGTGGAGGTGATCAGGCTTGGTTGCTCGGTCTCACCGGTAGTGGCAAGAAGAAGTGCAAGTGGCGGCCGTTCGGTAGCCGCAGCCGTCGACGGCGTCAGCGCGGCATGAAAAGAAGCATACAGAATTCGCAGACTCAACCGCAATCACGGATTATCAACACGGAGAAACCCAAAGAGAAACAAGCACCAACCGGTCCTAGAGTTCGTCCGAGTGATCGTAAGAATGAAATTCGCTTTTAGAACGAAAATGCTTTATGAAGTCAACTTAGCTTTTCCATATTGTTCCTTATCTTGCGTACTTTATGTAACAGGTTCACAAATAAGTACAGGAAACGGATCAAAGATATAAAAAGAAGTGTATATATATATATGTATATATATATGTATATATATTTATATATAAATTGACAAACAGATGATGTGCTTTTTATGGAGTAGATTCTCTTCTAATACAGAGACATAACCTTTTAACATAATTACATGTTACAAATTAAAAAGTATTGATGCATGGTATATGTAATATATTCTTCGCCTATGGTCTTTAAATCTCATTGCTTAGAAGAAGAACTTAAATACAACTTATTACAATTTACTAAGATTTAATTATCTTAGATAGATTATATTAAACGAAATTTACGAGCTGTTGCAATATATACATAGCTTCATGATCGATCGCTCGAATACGTTTTTCAGGCGAAAGTATTCAGAAAATGCTCGCCAATCTGCCGGCTAAAAGAGCCACAAGGAAGGTTCTGCAGGACAGCATGATGCGATCGCAGGGCCGACTTCGTAACGTAAGTAATTTAATAGCGCAAAACAATGCCTATCTTCATCTCAATAATACACTCAATCAAAATTGGATCGATATTAGAATCATAAAGGCGATAGAATCACATAATAGTCGGCTAATTTAAGGATGTTGACAGCGTAATATCTAACTTAATGGGCTCTTCTATGTAAAGATTTTATAATAATACAATTGGATATTATTCTTCCGATGTGTGAAACTATTTCGATGAAAATCACGTCAGAATATGAAAGTCATATTATGTCATATCATACAATGTCAAAATTAAAATTGTTCAATGAAAAGCTGCTTGAAACATCTTTCTTGATCTATCGTTAATAATTAGTTTCAATTACATTTCAAAATTTGTATTATTCGAGAAAATCATACAATTCCTTACAATTTCCGACTGGCAAAAAATTAGTATAAACGGAGTATAATAAATGAGGCCGATTGAAATCGTAAATTTAGTTTAATTTTATGTATTATGAAGACAAATTGCTTGAATAATGAAACATTGTATCGCCGATCAATCTGAGTAACGCAAATATGCTAAATAATTATGAAAAATTCGAGATTCGTCGAAATAATGATAGAACGTTATTGCCTTGCGCGCTTCATCGCACACGAGCGAAGACATCGATTAGTTGACATACGCGCTTGACGACGTACATATTTCTATGTGATCGTGCACATAGTCGCGCAGGCAAAGCGATTTTTATACTATAACATTGTATTCATTTTATTTTTCTTTCATTAAAAATGCTGCTTTTCTTGCTTTAACACTTTTTGTACTTCTATCTTTATACGATAAATTGTAAATAAAAATATAAGATGAAAATGTTATTATATAGCTTTCTAAAGATAAAAGCTTTAAATTTTGTCTTAATGATAATGAAACTGAATTTATCAGCACAAAAGCTGTAGTGGCATCTTTGGACTTTGTTGAAACAGGTGCAAACCAGAACAAGGCCTTGCATAATCGGCGACAACTCGTCCCGAATCTCACGCAACAAAGCCGCTCTGCGGAATAAACTGCTGAAGAACGCCAAGTCGATTCAGCGGAATCGCTGTCGGAGTGACAACATCGCCGCGGTAATCGAGAGCGTCGTGAGGAAGTGTCATGAAACTGAGAAGAAATCGGATAGTGATGTCGACAAAACCGCCGAAACTGAGAACGAGGATAAGAAAGATGCCAAAGAGATGAACGAAGGTTCGTCGAAGGCAACCAGCAAAGCTTCGGATCAGAATGATAGAACTATTCGACCGAGAGTTGGACGACCTAAGATTCTCGGCAAGAAGAGGAATGTGAAAAACCCACATCTTCAAAGCAAAAGTAGCAACAAGCTAGTGAAAGCAATGGGCAAGTTTGCGAAGTTTAAGAATGATACTACATCCGAGACGAAGGGTGAAGGCGAGGAGACATCCTCCCCAAAGAGTATACCAAAGAACGCAAAGACGCTGAAAACAATTGACAAAGATGACGTCAGTGCCGATAGTAAAAAGATATCGATGATTTCTGGAATAAAAAATAAAAACAAATTGACGCAAAATATATTGAAGAGAAAACGTCCAGTGGATCCGGTGGCATCCTTGAATGCTTCTATCAAGGCAAAATCACAATTACGAACGCAGGATGGTAAGTTTGCTCGCAATCCAAACAAGAATTTGCCAGCGAAATCGTCCGAAGAGAAAACGGACAACGGAAAATACAAGACTGCCGACTGGATCGAAATTAAGCCCAAGCTGAAAGCGGCGCAGAAGTTGAAAAAGATTGGGATCCAGCTGCCACGAAGAGTCACTCGATTATCGTCGGATAGCGACAAGATGCCGACTTTGGAACCAGTCGTACAGATTGTTTCCTCCAATGAGGAATATGCTGATAAGTCGGCGAACGATTTACCTATCTTGTCGCCAGTAACGTCGTCGGGTTCTCTTCAGGATCAAAAGGCGTCTCGAATTTCCACAAAGTACGTTTTAAAGGAAAAAGAGGAGAATATTGAGGCTAATGCTGATCTCGAGGTTGTCCCTGAAAAAAGAAAAAGGGGGCAAAAATCAACGAGAGGAAGAAAACCGAAGAAGGAAACGAAAGACATGGCGAAGCGGAAGAAGACTAATACAGTTGAAGAAAACAAAACTTCCAAAAATAACGTAGTAATATTAAAAGATGATAAAACGAAAGGCAGGAAGAGTTTACCGGTCTTAAATGCCAATAGTAGTGAAAATAGCAAGGAAGAAATATCGAAGAAAGAGGCAATTGTCAAAAAAGATTCTAAGCCTAAAAAGGAAGAAGCGACAAAGGAAACTCGAAACAATTCGAAAACCAGAGTAAACAAGGATTTCGTGAAACTGTCGGACATTCCATTTGAGGTGAAGAAACTACTGTATTCGGCTCAATGTATTCTCGACGAGGATGATCTCTTGAGCACACTAGAGCTCGCATCTAACGACTCAAAACGCAACCTGAGGCAATTGGCACCAAGATCGAAAGTGCTTCAAGTGAATAACAAGAAACCGCGAGAACTCGATGATGAATCAGACGGCTCGAAAGATACTTGTAAGAAGGAGAAGATTGAAGCGATTAAAAAATCATGCAGAAAAAACGCTGAGAAGAAGAGTGACGATAAACTAGCGAAAATGAGTCTAGAAAAAGATTCGACTAGCAATGCGATTGCCAATGTAGCGCAAAACGAAAGAAATCAACAAGGTAAAAGAGACAGAGCAGTGAAAATTAAGGAAATTACAATTGATAATTCTGATGTGAAAAGTAAAATCGACGGCAGACAAACGAGAGGATCAGTGAGCGACATCAAGAGCGAGCCTTCCTTAGAAATTGTAAACGATAGTCTTCGAAAAGGCAGATCTTTGGTGGGAAAACGTCGCAGTCGTAATAAATCGCTCGACAAAGATGAAGAAAATAACTTGCGTGTGTCCAAAGCACAGAGTAGCAGCGAAAATGCCTCGTCGAGCGGAAAGGAAACTGAGAAAGAGCTCGAGGAAGGTATCGATAAAATTTCTAAGAAGGAAATTGAAGGTGAGAGCGATAAAAATTCCGATGATCACTTAGATTCGACAGTAGTGAATATCAATTTAAGTCACTTGCAATCGGAGACGAGTAACCTGTCCATTGATAGTGGTAAGGAAAACTCTTTGGAAACATCCGTGAACGTTCACAGTAAACTGAAAGTAGGGAGACCCAAGAAGTCATGGGGCTCGCGTCGCGAGAAATCGTTGAGGAAAAGGTCCTTAAACAATGTCATCGGTATTCTGACGGAAGGCATGAATATCCCTGTGGAGGCGCAGCAGAATGTGCAGGTGCTCACGGTTCAGACTAGTTTGGACAATCCGGATAGGTTGGCGCGGAACGGAAGCGCTCAACAACCAAGCGGTGGTGAGGGCAACGTGATCGTAGTAGACTCAGCATTCAGCGAGCTGTCAGCCCTCGCCAAAAGTGAAGAAAAATCCGCAGAGAACGAAACTGTTACGGCGACTAGCACAACCGATAGCTCTCACGCAGATGATGAGAAGAATGCTTGTCCTGATGAAGCGCAACTTGAAACCGCCTTTGCCGATGGAAAAGTCGACGTATCGTTGAGAGTTACAACTATTAAGGCGTGTTCGCCAGCCAATGACATTATCCTCGATCTGTCTAGAAGAAAACCCAAGGGTAAAGGCTCTTTTTTAGAAAAAATTGTGTCGAAAATAGCCAAGCAGAAAGACGCTTTGCTAGAAGGTGAGGTAGGTTCTTTGCTTGACACAGCGGCCGATGAGTTGACTAGCATTCTCGATGAGGTCGGACCCACCTTAACTGATAATGCGGAGAACACAAATTCTGATGAGACAAACCATGCTTCAGAGAACGATAAAAGTGTGACAGTTACATCCACTGACAAAGAATTGCCGGTGATTGTCGAACCTGAAATTCAAACATTGGAAAACGAGAAAACCAATGTTGAGAGCGCGGTTTCCAAATGTTCAACGGATTCTTTGAAGATGTCAGACAATCTCGAAAAAAACTTGGCAACAAAGGCTGAAATTCAAAGTGAGAATCAACTTAAAGCAGATAATGTTTCAAACACTGAGATGAAGAATGACGATGACTTGCACAGAAAAGTGAATTCTATTGAAGAAAATGTTGACTCTTGCGAAAATAAATTGATGATAAATAAAGAACCAGTTATTCCAATAACAATTTCAAATGAGAATCTTGCATCATTAACCGATATTCCAATTTCTTGTTCGTTATTTATGACACAAAAAGAAAATTTAGAAAAACCTGAAAGAAAGAAAGGCATTACAAAATCCAGGAGAAAATCCAACAAAAGATCACTGGACGCAAGATCTAAGAAAAATAAGAAAACATCACTAGAAATCGTCGAAGATCGCACAGAAGAAGATGCGCAGAAGAAACTTGGATTGAATGACACGGTTAAGTCTGATGTTGGAAATGAATTTTCAAAGAAAGACGATAGTGTGGAGACTTCAAACGCAGATATCGAAAAGTCGAAGCTGCTTCAACACAGAGAAAACGAAATTATCAAGGACAACTTAAAGTCAACAAATTTAGAAAAGAATCTCACGACAACTAATAATGAATCAAATCTAGAAAAATTCACCGAGTTTTCAGAAATCACTTGTGAAAATACGAAATTAATGGCGAGCCTTGAGAAATCTCTTGACAAAATAACTTCCGATGAAGATACTGTTACCAATGAGTTGGTAGAATCAATCGAGAAAAGTACTGATGTTTCGATATTATCTTCCGAAAAAAGTGTTGAGTATAAAAAATCAGTAAATAGAAATAAAAAAAAGAATCGAGTTAATTCGAACGGATCTTCATCTAGGCGTAAATCGAAGAGAAAATTGAAATCTGTCTTATCAATAATTCCTTCGATGGATGCTACTATAAACGTCCTCCAAACTTCTGTAGAACCTATAGATGAAACAGAGGAGATACCATCTTCGTCGACCATTGCGAGAGAATCTTCAGAATCAACTGATATACAATCGATAAAAATTGGGACCACTAGTGACTCAGACGTTCCTTTAGAAAACTTCTTGCATTCAGTAGAAATAGTGCCCGAGGAACATAAAGAGACACAAAATACAGACTTAAAAAATTCAAGTCTTGTTAATTCGATACCTTCAAAAACAACGGAGAAACGTGGTGCGAAAAAGAAGTCATTGGCTGAGGAGCATCTGGAACTACCGGAAGACAAGTCTGCTAAAGTTGTTTTGAAACTCAATGATGAATCCAGCATCGCCGATACTAACGAGCGATTATCTGTTAGCTTAGAGCATTTCAAAATACCGGAAGTGAAGGATCTACCGCAGAGTGCGAAAAAACGAGGCCCAAAAAAGAAGTCGCAGCCCGAGGACGATCCCTGGAACAGCGGAAGCGTTTCCGAAAAGTCTCGAACGAACGAGAAATCCACGGAGATCGGCGAGATATCTAACTCGATCGAAGAGAAAGTCGAAGAACAAGAAAAAATAGAGAAACGTGTTATTGGAGAAGAATCGAGTATGAAGAAGCTCGGAAGATCGAGTTCTTCAGGATCGATCGGTCTCGCTCCATCTCTACCCAAGACAAGATCTATGTTCAAGAGAAAAATACAGCTGTCAAACGAAGACCTTGCTGATTCCTGCATTCGAAATCAAAGTGCCGAAAGCATGGACGACTTATCTGAGAGCTCGTGCGTCAGCGAGTCCAGCTACTTTAGGAAGAAGCGATTCGCGAAGAAAAAGAGGAAAGAGGAGGCAGTAGTTGACAGTACCCGAGCCGATGCTTTTCTCATACATTCGACAGCCCTGAAAAGCAGTAAGCAAAATCCGAAAAGGAAAACCAAATCATTGCTTGACGAGCACCTTAATTTGTCTGACGTAGATGACATTGACATTCCAATGGACATCCAAGCCTCATTAGAAAATACGGAAGCCTTGGAAAAGATTGAACGAGAATTTGAACTCACTGAAAAATCTTTGGATCCACAAAACGAAGGTACAGATAAACCAACGGATGATACGGAGAACAAAGATTCGCACGCCACTTTAGAAAGACCAGCATCTAATAATCATGATTCTTCGGATAATCCGGTTACCCCAAAGAAACGCGCGGGAGGCAACTTTGTGGTGGTGCACACAAAAACCGGTGAGATTTTGATTGTGGAAAAGAGGAAAAAGTTAACGAAGGAAGCGGCGAGGTTTTTCTGCGACGTATGCGCTACAAGCTTCACTCGTAAGAGCTCTCTAAAGAAACATACATTGTCACAGTCGCATTTATCACAGTTGACAAAATCCACCAAAGACAAAGCTGAGTCTGTTAACAGCAATACGTTCGAGAATACTGAAGAGGACGACAACGAATGGAAGAATAATTCAGAAAATGATCAACAGATGAAGAACATTCAAGAAGACGCTCGATCTCATGAAACCGATCAGAAGTCTTTGGAGCTAGACGAGAGCTTCGTTCCTTACACAAATAGTACAGAATTAACAAAATCTCTTGTGGATCTCGGAACGAGGCAGATGTTGGAAGATAAACTGCTGGACGAAGAAATTTGCAAGATTACTGAAAACATGAGCCATGACGAATACGTTTTGACTGATCAAGTGACACCGGAAGATCCGATGTTGTCATCAACACCGATCAAAGCCGTCCAAAAAAATCAAGAGGATCCAGGACAAGGCAAGAACAGTGATAAGAAGCGGAATAAGTCGAAGAAAAGGAATCTGGCAGAAGAACATTTGCTCTTGGATTCTCCTAAATTAGAAAATTCTAAAATTGACTCGGATGAGCTTCCGAAACCAACCAATGATGTCATGCGAATTTCCTCGCCATCTTGTGATAATTCTTCGATAAAGGAAGTAATGAACACGGTAGAAAAAATCGAAGATATTTCTAAAGAATGTGTAGATAACGTTGAAACGAAAAATCGATCAGAATTAACTGTTACATCTTTGAATGAAGAAACAATTTTGAAATCAGTATGTGATATTGATGGGAAAACTGACCAGCAAACGGAATCTACGAGGACTATGAAGAAAACGCTAAAAAAAGTTTCTAAAGTTTATAACGAGGAAAAAGAAGAGATCTCAACTTTAACTGAAACAAATCGTTTCAGTCTAAGACCCAGAAGAAGTAAAAACATTCAGCATTATGAAGAGTCTGATATTGAAGTTGATATATATTTTATGGATACTTCCATGGAGATTAACAGTGATGAGATAGAAGATAGCCGTGATGCGCAAAAGAAACAGAACGAAGTAGAAGAAGAAACCAACAGGGATACACTACAGGAAAACGCATATGCTGCAACTGACGATAAGAGTTGCCAGGATGTAGAAGTCGCAAAATCGATGACAGACTCAACGAACGGCACTAAGAAAAAGAAACGTGGAAGACCGAGGCTTAAAAATCGAATTATTTCGAATTCCAGTAACGCTTCAGCTCCCACGAACCTCGAAGTTAACGGAAACGATTCTGTCGCTACGACTAATCTTGATGAATCAAAAATTGAGGATCAAAAATTAAATTTGGATACCAAAGAGCGTTTCGACAAAACCAGCAAGCCGCCACATATTGATGCAAATGCCCAACCTCCTAAACGAAGTCGGGGCAGGCCTAGAAAAAATCCTGTATCCGTTATAAATAATTCTTCAGTACAAGCAGATAATTCGAGTGCTTCCGAATCGACGAAATCAAATTATGATGATGTGAAAGAAAAGGCAGACGTGATTGAATCATGTTCCAAAATGATTATCGAAGAAACCACGTCGATCAGTTCTTTGATACCGAATGCGGAGTCTTCATCTGCCGTTCAAGATCATACTTCAGAATCAAATTTATCGGAAACGAAAAAAGATTTATTAAATACTGAAGATGTTCAAAGCACCGAGTTAAACATTTCTAAAGATCAATTGGCGCAGAAAATAGAATCTACGAATATTGCGATAGACGACACCGTACTCATAAGGAATTGCGAGAATGTGCTTATCTCTAACATTCCATCAGAAAAAGTCGAAATATTGATGCTATCAGAAACAAACACATATGTTGACGATACAAAATGTGTGCTAGAAGACAAACAAAATGATACGAATGTGAATGTTTTAGCACTAACGACCAAATCATTAATCGAGCTTCCATCACAAATTACCGAACAGATATCAATTGATAATTTGGAATCGGCTGAATCAAAAGCAATCGAATTCGACAACAATGAAAGCTTTGAAATTTCAAAATCAACAGATATTTTAAAAGAGAAACAAATAAAGCCAAGAGAGGAACTTCCCGAAGAAGTTCTCAAAGCAAAAATTTTGTCATCAGAAGATGAGGATAAAGCGTTAGTCGAAGACAATAAATCTCTTCTCAACGCAAATTTCCATGAATCTCAGAAGGTAATAAGTGATTCTGGGAATGATAGCGCTTACGATGAAAAGACAATTCGATTGGAATCTACCAAGAAATTATCCAGAAAATCGACGAGTAAGGAACGAGAAACTGATCGCAAAAGATTGAAAACATCCAAGGATAAAAAGAAAAAAATCAAAGTTGCTGAACTGTCGAGTGACAGCGAGAACGAGGATGACAGACTCGAATCTGCTGCTTCGAGTAAGAGTAAAATTGTGAAGAGTGTGTTCGGCCGAGTGTTTGGTGGCGAGAAAGCGGACAAGGTGAAGGAAGTATTGAACGATTGGGTATCACGATCAGAAGACGATTCGGATATATCTAGAAGTGCTTTGGATGCGAGATCCTATCTGCATGGACTGACAAAATTCTCCGAGAATGGACACAAGAAAGAAAAGAAATGCCACTTTGGCTCTGAAACAAAGAAGGATACTGAACGATTACCTAAAAAGAAAGGAAATGAGAAGTGCAGCAGTGAGGTTTACGGGAAAGCGAAGAATCGAAAGAAGCGAGAGAAGGACATTGAATCGATACCTGAGGACCGTATTGGCTCACCTATCAATCCGGCCAAACGAAGATACAGAGAGAGCAAAATCAGAGCGGATGAGAAGATTCTAAGAGCTTTCAATGATGAGTTATTGACGATTTCAGATGAAGATAATAAGATTAAGGAAATGAGTAATCAGATTGATAATGAATTGAACGATAAAGATAAGGAAACAAGGAGACACCATGAAAAAGACTTGAATAAGGAGCGAACGAAGAATAAGAATTTGATTTCTGAGAATTGGGAGAGTCTTCGAGTCGAACACAACGCTCATGGAAAATCGAAAAATAGTTTCAGTCATCGTAAGAAACAAGATAAGGAGCGTTCTTTGTCACCATCGCAGTCCGAGTCCAAATACAGATGGAGGGAGAGCAAGACCAAAGCCGGTGAGAGGATCTGGAGAGCCTTTGATAACGAGATTTCATCATGCTTTTCCGATGATCAGAATCGTAACGAATTTCACGGAATTTCTATGGAGCAACAGATCGAGTTCTACGAATCTAAAGACCCGAATTGTTCGGATAATTCGAAGAGTGTCAAACAAAAAGATGACGATGCTTGGAAAAACGTCAGTTCGATAGATCACGAACAAAGCGTAGTGCATAGTGAACGCGGCAGATCCAGAAAAAATTCGAACAGTCGCAAGAAACAAGATTTCAGTCTGATTAAAATAAGTAAGACAAAAACGAACAAAAGGATTTCGAGAGATTACGAGTCATCAATTCCTTCGAAAGATCGAGAAACGAAGAGCGAAATGCAAAACGATCAAACGATATTATCGACAAGTGAATCGAAGAATCGATCGAAAACTTTGACCAAAGATAGCTCTTACGAGTTCTTCTATGGCGATTCAGTTGTTTCGAAGTATGTGAATAAAGATCAAGATAATTTGCTAACACATTTGGATCGTTCAAGTTCTAGGAAAAACAAAAAAAGGATTATTGATGAAGATTGGAAACATTCAATGAGAAAATTTGATCTGGACGATGATCAACCGACCAAGAAAGAAATTGAACACAAGGAAGAGGATACAATATCATCGCGTAGTTGCAGCAGTTTAGCAGCCGAAGAACCAATAAGGAAGAATCAATTGGTCGATCTTGATGGAAGTTCTCAGATGAATCGAAAGTCTGATGACAATGATAACGACAACGAGGAGGATGATGACAGCGAGGAAGATGACAGCGATCTCGAGCAACGAAGAATGTCACCATTCTACGCTCGCGAGACTCCCGATAACTCCATAGAAAGCGGCTCCGAGGAAGAGGAGGAGGAAGAGGATGGCGAGGAAGAAGAAGAGGAGGAACGCGTAACGTATGAGGATAATTCTAGAAAGACAAATCCAAGCGAATTCTCTGGAGAGAAGATCATAATCAGATCGCCATCTTCGGGTCATAGATCGGATGTGGTAACGATTGCACCCACAGACGCGATGGAGGACAATGCTTTAGACGTACCAAGAGAAATCGAATCAACGACGGAACCGCGGCAAGGCAAAATCCTTAACTTCGATGAGGAGCTCTTCGTGGAATGTTGCTCGAGACTAAAAGCTACGAGTGAGAACGAGTTGAGAGGTGCGAAGAAGATTAAGCTCGATCACACGGAATCATATCACAGGCGAGATGATCAATCGCAAGGATTCAGAGTCAATAGAGATCGATGGAGAGACGTAGAGAGTCAAAATAGTCTCGGTAGTCTTCTGGAATCAGTGAATCAAGTGAGTATTATACATTAGACGGTTTTCTGCTTGAATAACTTATTAATATATAATTAATAAATCGTTAATAAGTTAGTTATTCTGTACACAAGGCAAATGTGTAATAATATTGTTTATTTAATTCGTTTAATGTGTGAATTAAATCAATATAAATCTTTTAATGATAAATTATGAAATTATTTAAAATTGTGATTATATACATATTTAATAAATTAAGTGAAGTCTTTTGCTATTAAATTGACTTGATTAATTGGTGAAACCATTAACTTTCAGTTCTAAATAAATAGAGTTATAAATTTTAAATACACTTTGTGGAAAATTTACTAAAAAAATAATAATTTATTATAAATGTATTCTATTATATATAAGTATTTATATTCTAAAACTTTTATACTAATCTTTTAAGAATTAAAAACACGATTATAAAGAAAAATAAATACGATGTAAGATATATGTTACTTGGAAATTCTAGTTGCTCGGCGAGGAGATGTACAACAGTCATGACAAAAGTTATCGAACGCGCGGTAGCGAACGATCGAGCAGATCGGCCAGTCCGGATACGTCGCGAATCGACAATCTTGGCTACGAGGACAGTTTGGACGTAGCTTTTGAGCACAATAACAAACTACGAGATAAGATCCAACAGCGCATGAGAGAGAGCGAGAATCTGATAGCCAGTACGTTCGGCCAGAAGATCAATGACAACGATCATCCTGACGATGACAAGCGAGACAGCGTTGGGAATTCTTATTCCTCGAGTATTCACGAACATGAACAGCTACCTACGTCGGTCGCGTCAAATAGAGAGCTGGAGTCTTCACCGGGCCACAAAAACAAGACGAATTCGACTCTAGGTGGTTTACACAAGGCACTATCCAACTTGTTACATAGCAATGGCAAACATGATCATAAGTGAGTATCTCGTATCG